AAAAAAAAAAAAAAAAAAAAAAAAAAAATTAGACATAGAGTTACTACATGACTCAGCAGTTCCTAGGTATGTACGCAAGGAATCAACTTGTACACGAATGTTCATAGCAACATTATTCGTTGCTATAGTCTGAATGTGTCCCTCCAAAATTCATGTTTAAACCTAATTTCCTCATGCCTGTAATCTCAGTACTTTGGGAGGCTAAGGTGGGTGCATCATTTGAGGTGAGGAGTTTGAGACCAGCCTGGCCAACCTGGTGAAACCTCTTCTCCACTAAAAATACAAAAATTAGCCAGGCATGGTGGTGTACGCCTGCAATCCCAGCTACTCGGGAGGCTGAGGCACAATAATTGCTTGAAACTGGGAGGTAGAATCTGCAGTGAGCCAAGATGGTGCCACTGCACTCCAGCGGGGGCAACAGACCGAGAGACTGTCTAAAAACAACAACAACAACAACAAAAACCTAATCTCTACTGTGGTAATATTGAGAGTTGAGGCCTTTAGGAGGTAATTAGGTTATACGGACAGAGCCCTCATAGATGAGATTAATGCCCTTATAAAAGAGATGTGAAGGAGATTGCTTGCTTCTTCTGTCACAAGAGAATGCTGCAAGAAGGTGCCATCTTTGAAGAAGAGAGCAAGTCCTTACCAGACACTAAATCTGCTAGTGCCTTGATCTTGGACTTAACAGCCTCCAGAACTGTGAGCAATACATTTCTGTTGTTTACAAATTACCTTGTCTAAGGTATTTTCTCACAGCAGTTCAAATGGACTAAGACATTTATAATAGCCCCAACTGGAAACAATCCAAATGTCCATCAACTAATGAATGTGTAAACAAAATGTCCACATAATGGAATATTATTCAACCATAAAAAATGAAGTACTGATACTACAACATGGATGAACTTCAAAAACATTGTACTGGCCAGACAGAGTGGCTCATCCTGTAATCCCAGCACTTTGGGATGCCAAGGTGTGTGGATCGCTTGAGTCCAGGAGTTTGAGACCAGCCTGGGCAACATGGCAAAATCCCATCTCTACAAAAAATACAAAAATTAGCCAGCTGTGGTGGCACATGCCTATAGTCCCAGCTCCTTGGGAGGACTGCTTAAGCCCAGGAGGCAGAGGTTGCAGTGAACCAAGATCGTGCCACTGCACTCTAGGCTGGGTGACAGAGCCAAACCTCATCTCAAAAACAACAAACAAACAAACAAACAAACATTGTACTAAGTAAAAGGAGCCAGTCACAAAAGGCCACATATTGTATGATTCCATTTATGTGAAATGCTCTGAATAGGCAAATCCTTAGGGACAGAAAATAGATTAGTGGTTGCCAGGGGAGGAAGGAATTGGGAGGCATGAGGTTTCTAGAATTAGACAGTGGTGATGGTTGTACAGTCTTGAAAATATACTAAAAACCACTGAATTGTTCACTTTACAGGGACAAATTTTATGTATGATATGTAAATTATGTCTCAATTTCTGAAAAAGTAGATCTGTGTGTTGTCATATATTCTATGTCCAGAAAATCTCTTTACTTTTTACATAAAATAATTTAAACATTTCCAGAGCAGTATATGTCAACTACATTTTAAAAATTACAATAAAGACCTGAATGTTTTTTGCTGAAACTCTATATTCTAAAACTGACAAAAATAATGTATGCAATAGATAACTTCTTTGTCATATTTCTCTATTCAAAATCTTCTGAATATTTGTATTTCTCAATATATCATTGCCAAAAAATGTATATTTTTATTTTTTGCTTTACTGGCACAAATTTGGGTTGCAATGTCTTCTAAAATGTTAAAATTAAAATGGCATGTTAGTTAGTTTCTCATAATAATACCTTTATGGTTAATTTCAAAACACCCTATTTGTAAGTTTTCAAAGATAGATTTTAAGAATTGGACATTTTTGCATATGTTGCTTAACATTAGCTGGCATGGCTCTAGAATTAAATATTATTATTATATGGAAATTTATGAAGAGTTAAATACTGGACAAGTTAAGATAAGGTGAGAAGATGTTTTCAGGGACCAGGACATATAATTTAAATTCAAAAACTTCTGGAAAATATAGAAAAGTATCTGTTTTGCTGCAAACTAAATTTTCCCTAATTTTTTTCAATTTACTTAAGGCAGCAAGATATACATTTTACTCTTAAAATATTTAACTTGTATTGCTATATTAATAACTTTTCAATGTACAACTTTTCAATTTTCTAATACACCAAAGATATTCCTCCTAAATGGGTTTCTTCCTTTTACTCATTGAAACTAAATGCAGTTCAGTTATTTGATTAGTTGATGCTAGAATTTGACCTGGAGCTTATATAATTAGAAGAGACACTAGTTTTCATCATTTAAAAGCCTGGTTAGCATACTACGGTCTCGTTTCAGGGGAAGTCAAACCTCTCTACTGCTTCTTTTTATAACCTTTAAGTTAATTCAGAACCCAGATAAGCCTTGATCTGAGGATGATATAACCACCGCAAGCAACATGGGGTAAGTATGCGCTTTTATATGCTTTAAGGGGCACCTAAAGGGGAAACAATTTTATAAGAGATGAAAACCCATCAATCCTTACCATATGGTGTACTAATTTAAATTCGATATATGCTAACATTTATTTAAGGTAGCCATTCAAAGAAATAACTTTTATTTAAAAGTTATAACAATTTGTAAAACCTTCATTTATTTCCTTGCTTAATTTTTATATTCTGTCTTAACTGCGCTTTGCAGGTTATCAATAAACTGGAGACTGAAGTTGTTCTGCATATTAATAAATATAGTTGAAGCTGAGTTAAATTTTGAGAGCAGTCTTAAAGAAAGGATGCTAGGCAGCATAAATCTGACATGGACATGCCTCTTTGGGATTAAGAATAATTAAAGAATGAAAAAGATTAGGGATAGAAGGAGATTGGTTTATTCCTTTCTAACACAGAAAAGGAATAGAGGAATCTTCAGCATTCACTCCTCCATGTACAGAACAAAAAACACATCCTGATTGGAAATGTGTACTGATTAATTACATGGGGGCTTTATTAGTGAAACATAATTCTAAGCACTTCATGGGGCTTTGGCGTGTAATGAGAAGAACTGAGTTTCACTTAAGCACTGTCTTTACTTAAGTGAGAATAGCATTCTATTATAATTAGTATTGGAATTATGTGAGTTTTTATATGCTGAAATAGTATTCTGAATATGTAGAAATCTCTCTTTATATCACCCTTTTATATTTTTAATAGCCCCTTTTAATACAAAATCATATTGCTGTAAACGGGATAGCTATTTCATTGAAGGCTACTTCTGAAGGATTCAACATAATGATCAGAAATTTATACTAGATAAAAAAGTTTTTGATTAATATTTATTCTAAACATTTTTCACAAACTTAATTAATTAATGTCTACATTTTTCATACCATGGACTCTGAAAATGCAATCTAAACTCATTTGAAAACTCGGAGGCTTTTGAAAGAAGATGATCATACTATTGTGTTTTTTTTTTATTTTCTTCTCTTTTTTTAGACAAGGTCTCACTTTGTCACCTGGGCTCAAGCGATCCTCCCACCTCAGCCCCCACAGGTAGCTGAGACCACAGGTGTACACCACCACACCTGGCTAATGTTTGTATTTTTTCTAGAGATGGGGTTTTGTCATGTTGCCCAGGTTGGTCTTGAACTCCTGATCTCAAGCAGTCCTCCCTCTTCAGCCTCCCAAAGTGCTGGGATTACAGGCGTGAGCCACCATGCCCGGCCTTATTGTTAACTTTTTCTTAATTCCCTTTATTTACCTTCCCTTTTCTCTGTGTATAAGGGTGTACTTCAACGTAGCAGGCCAGTAATAAACTAAGCAGTGTGGATACAGAGATCAACTGATCTTCCTCCTTCCCTTCCTCTCTCCTTTCCTCCTTTCCTCCCTCCCTCTTCCTTCCTTTCTTTTTCTTTAATGACGGCAGTTCTTAACCTTTTTGGTGTCAAGAATTGCTTTTAGAATCTTCAGAAACCAGTCCACCATTTCTGCAAAAAAAAAAAAAAGGTATAATCACACAAAATTTTGCATACAATTTCAGGAGATTTACAGGTGACCTGAAACCCTGTTCTTGGGACCACAGGTTAAGATCCTTAGATTTTGATTTTAGGACTGGAGTATGATTTGTTCAATATTTCTCTTTGGATTTTTATAAATGTAAGAATCTTTAAGTTCATAATTCTTGCTAATCTTCTCAAGGACAGTGTGGAAGATTCCCCACCCCCCAACACGCAATTTACATGAGTGTGAAACATAGTTTAACCAACATGCATCACATTACCGCTGCTGGGCCCCGAGGACTTGACTAATCACTTGTTCCTTTCGAGAGTGCCAGGAATCACCTTGGGAGTCACGGACGGAAAAAACACTCATTATGTTATTTGTAAAGCCCTTTGAATGCCCCAAATAAGATGAACAAAACAAATCATAAATGCTAATATTACAGGAAGCACTCTTCTGATTGGTATGTTCGTGATTATTTTGTTGTCTGTTCGTGCCTTTATTGACAAAAAGACAGGGTAGTAAGTATTAACATCTGTTTGAGTCTTCCTAAAATAATCAGAAAAAGAGAAAGTGGCAGCTAATCGGATTCTCAAATGTATCCATTTGAAGAAATCTCTAGAATTTATTTCCTGAGAATGAGGGAGTAACTGTTGTGGATTTGTCTTTGGGGCCTACTTATCTCAAATGATTTGAGGATATAATTCCCTTATATGGGGCAATGCCAGTCCTTTCCACCTTTCCCCAGGCTATGCTGGCATGGTTTTAGCGAGCAATAAAGAAGCAAATACTGGAAAATTCTTACGCTCTCTAAAAAATCTCCTCCTCATAAATTTTCATTGGGTTTCTTATGGAGTATGTGAGTAGGTGGGGTGGGTAGAGATGATGCCTAAAGGTGGTGAATAGATAACTGGGGAAAAAACTAACTGACATCTGCTAAGTACCATAACACCTGGGCAAAGGATGAACAATGGGAAAGAAAGGATGGCTGTATTTCTTTTTTGAGATATTTTTTAACGTGCTTTCCCCATCTCGTAGCAGGGTTAGTCAGTGCACCCCCAACTGACATATGGGAAAAACAAAAGTTAAGGTTCTGCTAAAATTGTAGAACCAACAAGTTCATTATTATAGCATATTCAGCCTCCTTTTAGTCTCCTGGTTCAAATAAGTTTAGAGTAATTTTAAAATTTATCTTATGGACATATTTCCTCCTCCTGAATCTGAGAGTGACTATCCAACTCTTTTTCTTGGGTGAAGCATACATTTGGCTCATGGAGCAACCTTTGAAATGTTACTTCTATCTGTGCCCTCCTTTCCTTTCTAAGAGTCACTTCCCTAATTCAGGTCATCATCATCTTTTACTTGGGTTATTAAAGGTGCCTGCTCACTGGCCTCTTTGCAGCTGCTCTTTCCTCTACCGTGCCACAAAGTCATCTTCTTACCAGAGATATGTGATCTTGTTATACCACTGCTTAACATTTTCAATGACTCTTTCTCTCCACTGCAGAGCAAGCTCCAAAGAAGAGATTTAAGGCCCTCTATCTGCCCCCAATCTACCTGTCTAATCTCACCTTTTACTCTACCTTCCTTGCTCCCTAGGGTTCCTAAGTCCACCTAGGCCTTGTGCTTTGTTCCTCTGGTAATCCTCTTTTTTTTTTTTTTTTTTTTTTTGAGACAGGGTCTCACCCTGTTGCCAGGCTGGAGTGCAGTGGCACAGTCTCGGCTCACTGCAACCTCTGCCTCCTGGGTTCAAGCAATTCTCCTGCCTCAGCCTCCTGAGAGCAGGGACCCACCACCATGTTTTTGTATTTTTAGTAGAGACAGAGTTTCAGCATGTTGGCCAGGCTGGCCTCGAACTCCTGAGCTCAAGCGATTCACCTGCCTCAGCCTCCTAAAATGCTGGAATTACAGGTGTGAGCTACTGTGCCTGGCCCCTCTGGTGATCCCCTTTTGACCATTTCTACATACCGTGCAAAGCCTGGCTCAAATCCTATCTTCTTAATGAAGCTGTCTCTAATCCCCACAAGGGAATACATCTTTTCTTTGAAAATTTTAGGCACTTTACACTTTTCTTTTTCATTTGTCACAATCCATGACATGTTACAGTTATTTGTGTGTCTCGTCTTCCCTATTAGACTGGAAGCAGAAACAATGACATCCTTGCATTTCTCCCAACACCTGGTACAATGCCTTTTATATGGTATATGCTTATTAAATACTTGTTGAATGCATGTGAACTCTGTTTAAACCCCTAAAAACTTAATTTTAGGCAAACTTTCTTCTTTTTTTCCCGATCGAGTTGCCTCGTTTTCCAGGTTTCTATCTGAGGAGCTCAAATGAGTGAGTAGTATCTAACATGTAGGCAATTCAAGGGAGACAGGGCACAAACAAGGGCTGGAGTGAAGACTTCTGAAGTCTGAAGACTGAAGACTTTGTTGTTAATTAGCAGAAAGCACACGTAGGCTCCAAGGAAATATAAGAAAACTTTCCAGAATTAAAAATCGTTCTTGCCAGGCTGACTCATATCTGTGATCCCAACACTTTAGGAGGCCGAGACACTGGGATCACTTGAGCCCAGGAATTCGAGACCAGCCTGGGCAACATGGCAAAACCCCATCTCTACCAAAAACAAAAAACAAAAACAAAAAATTAGCCAGGCATGGTGGCATGCACCTGTAGTTCCAGCTACTCAGAGGCTGAGGCAGGAGGATTGCTTGAGCCCGGGAGGTTGAGGCTGCAGTGAGCCACGATCACACCACTGCACGCCAGCCTGGGCTTCAGAGAGAAAACTTGCCTTTTATTAAAAAAAAAAAAAAATTTTGCTTTTGGCCTCTGGATAGCTTCCTAGAAGACCAGCATATCAGTAAGGGTTGGGTTAATCTGTATATGCCGGGGTTAGGGGGTGGGGGGGGTGGGAAGAATAGGGGCTTAAACAAGCTAGAAGTGTATTTCTCTCTTACATTAAAAACAAACAAACATACAAACAAACAACCCCACAAAGGTAGGCAGTCCAGTGCTGTTAGATGAGTTCCTTGGTGTGAGGCACCCAGGTTCCTCTCATCTTGCTCTTCTGCCATCCTTAGTATATCAACTCTTGGTCCAAGAAGGTTGCTAGGTCTCCACCTATCTCACTGGTGTTCAGCCAGCAAGAATGAAGAATGGGGAAAAAAGGTGTGTTCTCCCTTTTAGGAAACTTCCCAGTGGTCACTCTGTGTTTCTCCTTGTATTGCATGGGTAGAAATCTAGACTCATGGTTACACTAGCTGTGAGGAAGAGGGGAATACAGTCTTTTAACTGGGTTTCCAAAAAAAAAAGAGAATGAATCCTGGGTGGCAACTAGCAGTGTCTGTCAGAGCCAGTATCCGGCCTTACATGGCCTCTTATATTCGTTTAGACAAAGTACAGCATTATGTACAAAAGTAATCTTTTAAGAAAAAAAAATCTGTTAAGTTAAAGGAAAAAAAGAGCAAGCCAAGCTGGGAATAAACAGATTCACCCAGGATAAAGGCCTCTTGATAAAATGACAAAAGGTGACCAAGTAAGGCTTTGCTCCTCCCCGCACTCCACATCCCAGTCTCCCTCCCTCTGGGCTTCAGGTCCCTGACTCTTCACATCCACGCTGTGAGGCGAGTATTACTATTACTAAGCCAATCATACAGGTCAGGAAACCGAAGTCCAGGAAGATTCGGTGAATTGGCCAAACTGCCTGTACTGCAGCAAAAATTATATAAATCACAGAATGTTTTCTAAATAGATTTGTTCTTAATTTTGAGTATAGATCACTTCGATTGGCCCCTAAAGAAAAACCTATTACAAACACATTTCACTTGTCACTTGAAGTAGTTGATTTAATGTGGAATATTAGAAAAGACTCTAGATTTGTGGCTTTCAATATTTTAAGGTCGCATCAACTGCTTTGAACTCTTCTGATTCAGCAATGCCCCCTCAGCCATGTTGGAGTTCTCTAGCTATGTTTTTAAATACATAGAAATTTATTTTTAATAGTCCCCCAAACATATGAATACTGACGTGATTGTACTTACTCAATACCAAGTGACTTAAAAATTAAAAGACTAAAAGAAACGAAGACTTTTACTTTTTTACTGTATATGTTTTTTACCTATTAGAAATTTATAACAACAGTGAATTGCATATATAATGAGAACTTTTAATTACAAATTATAGGAAAAAAAATGATGGGATAAAATGCAAGGCAGCTATCATTATCAATGGCATTTTGTTTTTTTACAGAACTTCTAGAGAAAACAAGAAGACTTCAAAAAACATGCTGTGATGTCTCCCAGTGGAGACAGGGCACGAGGTGAGTGAAAATTGTAAAGAACTGTTTTCTAATAAGAACACAGGCAAACTGAGAGCTTAGCTTAAACCAGTGATCATTCTTGAAGCAGAAGTATTATAAATTTCTTTGTAGAATTTTATAACCCTTCTTGGTTTGATAACCATCAAATAAACAAATTGTGAGATTACTTAATTAGCTAGCAATAAGGGCAAATAGCCACCTTCTAAACCAGCTGTGTTGCATCAGACTTGATTGCACATATGAATGCTTATAGCATTGAGACAAGAATGAACTATGTTTTTGTTTGTTTGTTTGTTTTGTTTTGTTTATACAGAGTCTTGCTCTGTTGCCCAGGAGTGCAGTGGTGTGATCTCAGCTCACTGCAACCTCTGCCTTCCAGGTTTAAGCAATCCTCCTGCCTCAGCCTCCCGAGTAGCTGGGATTACAGGCTCACGCCACCATGCCCAGCTAATTTTTGAAATTTTATAGAGACAGGGTTTCACCGTGTTGGCCAGGCTGGTCTTGAACTCCTGACCTCAAGTGATCCGCCTGCCTTGGCCTCCGAAAGTGCTGGGATTACAGGTGTGAGCCACTGTGCTCAGTCATACTATGTTTTAATTAAGTTCTATTTTGGATGTCTTTGATGATTGCGAAAAACAGATGACATTTACTTTCCATTGAAGTGATGTATTCTGAGTTCCTACTTCATGCCGGGCTTTGTCACTTAATAACCATATGGGCTAGGTAACTATTATGCCCACTTGACAGTTGAGGGAGCATAGGCTTAGGTAGATTAACTTTCCCAAGTCATAAAACGAAGTAAGTAGCAGAGCTGGGATTGGAAGCTAGATGTCTGACACACTTAAGAAAAAAGTCTCATAATTTAAAACATTATTTTAAATTTCAAAACCCAAAAGTGCTCATTGTAAAATAAAATACAAACGTGATCATGACAGAAGAGTTTAAGTAAGATTTAAAAGCCCGTCCTACCCCTAACCCCATTCCTCTTTCCAAGCATAACCACTGTTAGTAGTTTGGTATAAATCCTTCCATATCTTTCTTTTTGCCTAGCGTAATTTTCTTTTTTTGAGACTGAGTCTCGCTCTGTCACCCAGGCTGGAGTGCAGTGGCACAATCTTGGCTCACTGCAACCTCCATCTCCCGGATTCAAGTGATTCTTCTGCCTCAGCCTCCCGAGTAGCTGGGACTACAGGCACACACCACCACACCCTGCTAATGTTTGTATTTTCAGTAGAGATGGGGTTTCATCATATTGGTCAGGCTGGTCTCAAACTCCTGACCTAGTGGTCCATCTGCCTCAGCATCCCAAAGTGCTGGGATTACAGGCTTGAGCCACCACACCTGGCTCAACCCAGTGTACTTTTCATCGTACAGTTGGCAAGAGAAAGATATGGAAGGATTTTCACAGTATCACACTTGGATGTATGAAAAATATTCACACTTTTCACAGAATCACACTTTCTATCTACTTAAATCAAAAAACAGAGGAGGCTGAATTTGCTATATATCTTTACTAGAATAAGCATCTACCTCTACACAATAACTGAAATGCTCATTCAGCTAACATTAGGCATTTATCTGCAGAGACACAAAGAACTCTAGAACTCACTCTCTGTTTCCCAGGGACTCACAATCTAGTGCAGTGGTTCTAAGTTTATTTTTGAGAGAGTAATTATAGAGTCCTTTGAGAGACTGCTGTGAGCTCTGAACTCTTTCTCAAGAAGAAAATGAACCTGTACAATTTTGCCTATAATTTAGAGGATTCGTGGAAACCTTGAGAGTATGGACCCCTGATCTTGTAGAAGTGAGACTTTTAAATGTATAGTTTGATAGAAATACTATAATGGAAATGTAGACAAGATGCTATACCACAGCACAGAAAAACAGGGCTTAACTCTCCTGGGACATATCAAGAAAGACAGGGAAGAATGACATTTGCACAAAATTTTGAAGGACATTAGGAGTTTGACAACTAGCCTGGTGCAGGGGAAGGGTGTCCGCAGAGGGAATAGCCCCAGAAGCTAGAATCGATGGGGAACCATGACTGTCTTTGTGATAGGAGCCCGGTGTGTATGGGAGCGACTAAAGGTGAGTCCGCAGAGCTGGGCAGAAGCCAGAACTCAAAGGGGTTTGTCCGCTGGTTTAGGACATTTGAACTTCAGGAGTCATGGAATGATTTTGATCAAGACTTTCATCGGTAGGCAGAAAGTCTATATTAGTGCATGGCTAAATAAATCATCATGGGAATAATAATTTGGATGACAGAATAAGGTATAAAAAGTAGATAAGACTATTTGATTCTGATTTTGGAGGGGATCATTGACTAAATGATATATTATTGAAAATATATATATTGCTAAAATAAAATGGAATTGATTGCAAAGTCATTGCTTTTACAAAGGAAGTTGGGAGAATAAAGTTCTGAAACTGTATGAGATAAAAGGGGTATATGTCAAACACAAAATTTGGGCAGCACATTGACTCCTTGGCTGCAGTAAGTCCCATGCACAGATTAGCTAGTGTCAATCACTCAAGGTGGATCGCTCGCTCCTGATTTAGCCATTGTCATGCCCTCTGCTGTCTTCCAGGCGCTCCAGATGGGCCATGTGACTTCCCATTGACCCTTCCACCTACAATGAGCAGGAAAGAAAAAAAGGGTCCAGTGGGTCAGGCTTTTAACATCTCTACATTAAGCATGTATTGCTTTTATAATTGAGATTTGAAAGCAATGTAGTATAAAGCAAGGCTTGCAGATAACATCATAGCTGATTCATTTCTATTTGGCTGTACTTAACCTGATATACTTAAAAAAAAAAGGAAAATATTAGTTTTATGCTCTACTTCTTGGCAGTGGCTTCATAAAGTCTCAAGGATATTTCACTGGATAAATACTTATTATTTATTATTCAGTTAAATTTTTTACTTATCAGATACTGTAAAGACTTGGAAAAGTAAACTGTACATGTATTGCATATGCTATTTTACGTGTATAATGTATCTTATAAAAAATTTTTTAAATACAAAGAATCATTTGGTCTTTGCCAAAGGGTAGTGCTCTGAAAGGTTTCTCAGACATGTTTAAATAGTGAGCTTTGTTAAGCCAAAATTTACAATTTAGGTGAAATAACATTGATTTCTCCAGTTTGCCTTTTCTAACTCATTAATTTTTTTAAAAAAAGAATGGTCTTCTTGCTGTTAATATGAATAAATAAAGTTCTGTGGGGTTTTTTTAGGGAAAGAAATAATTGATTATAAACATCTCCTGAAATTAAATTCAACTCAAACTTGTGTTGAGTGCCCACTGCAAACAGTTCCCATGTCAGAGGAATGTGAACAAATGATTTAAATGTAGTTATCTTTAAAAGTCCAGCTAATTTTGCACTCCCCTCCATAAAATATCTGAACATTAAAAATATTTGATAATTTTTTAATTGCTGAAAATTAAGTAAAATTGTTAGTATAAAAAGTAAAATTGCTAATATAAAGAGTAAAATTGCTACTATAAGGAGATATGCCATGTTTATTCTGAGGCTTCAAGTCCAGCACTCTAGGATCATAAGATATTACGCTCAGAGAAGTAAGCCAGCACCAAACCGCAGATACTACACGAGCTTACTTACATGTGGAATCTAAATAGTCAAACTCATGGAAGTCAAGAGTAGAATGATGGTTTCCAGAGGCTGGGGGTGGATGGGTGAGGGGGTGGAATGGAGACATGTTGGTCAAAGGGTACACTTTTCAGTAAGACAGGAGGAATACATTTTTGAGATCTATTGCATAACAGGCTGACTTTAGTTAATATATCGTACATTTCAAAATTACTAAGGGAATAAATTTGAAATGTTCTCACCACAACAATGACAAATATATGAGGTGACAGGTAGGCTACTTAGCTTGATTTACTTATTCTATGTTGAATACACATATCAACATTGCACTATACTTTCTAAATATATACAATTATAATTTGTGGATTTAAAAAAAAGAAATTAAGAAAAGAATCATTACCTGCCAGATACAATGGATATGAATATGAAATGGTCAGCTGGGCATGGTGGGTCATGACTGTAATCCTAGCACTTTGGAAGGCTGATGGGGGAGTACTGCTTGAGGCCAAGGAGTTCAAGACCAGCCTGGGCAAGAAAGCGAGCCCTCGCCTCTACAAAAAATAATTTAAAATTAGTCTGGTGTGGTGGTGTGCACCTGTAGTCCCGGCTACCTGGGAGGCTGAGGTAGGAAGGTTGCTTGAGCCCTGGAGATCGAGGCTGCAGTGAGCTAGGATTATACCACTGCATTCGCTCCAGCTTGGGCAACAGAACAAGACCCCTCTTGAAAAATAAGTAAATACGTAGAGACTATTGCCTATAATTCCTGGTAGGAAGAAATACTAATAATGCAGTCTGAGAATGTAGTAGAAGAGGGATTGACTAATTATGACTTAGAAGATAGGGGCAAGCTTCATAGAGAAAGAGGCGCTTGAATTGAGCCCTGAAGGATGAGAAGTATTTCATTAGAAAAAGAAAGATATTTGAGGGATAGAAGATGGGAGGAACAAAGGCACAGAGGCATGAAAGTGTTTGGTGAAAGGCATGAACTGTGATAATCTACACATGTATATCACATATACTAACTACTAGAAAGTTTTATTTGAATTACTCTGAAATAGAGGAACAAACCAAGTAAGTTCAGCTAGTCCAGTCACTAGCTGTTACAAGCAGCAAAATTGTATCAACCAATGTCTAACTGGCTACAGGGACACACCAGGAGCTCCACCCACACAACTTCTCCAGATTCTGATTAGAGGAGCAGTCCCACAGGATATGGGGAGGTAGTGATTTGCAGAGCCGACGAGGTGGAGTTAGTAAGACGGGGTTTCTGAGATTTGAGATTAAGGTCCCACAGACAGAGCTGAATTAAGATACCTGAGGCAGAGTAAAAGTCTGACACTTGCTTAAACGGATTTTCTTTCAATATCTCACACTTGAATGAAGAGAGGGTGA